CCCCCTCCTACCAAAGGAAACGTACCTTCGTCAGAGAAAAAAAGAACAAAAATACTCCGAGTAGTAAGACAATTGCAAAATTAAGGTGAAATACAGGAAGCGATTCCTTGTATCTATTTTTGTAACGTTTGTCGCGGTCTGTCTTTTTCCTTGGTCGAAAATTTCCTGGCTCGAAGTACCTTATTCTACTACGTGGTTCAGCCCTTGGGACCATAACAAGGGAAGGTGCGGAAAATATGGAAGGAACTTTGAGTTCAAAGAGCTGGCTTTTTCAGGCGTTTTCTCCTTAAATTTACTCTTTTCCAGTGACCTTAAAGCTCTCTCGACCCTCCACTGGCTTCCATACGGTATGTACAAAGTCGTTTTTCATACATTAACGCTTAAAGTTTGCAATTTAGTAGAAGTCTTTGCAACCAAAGTTTTTTGGTAAATTAATCTTCTCGTACTAAACTTTTTATTATCTTGCATTGTTATCCAAGGAAAATACTTTAATCATTGTTTATTGTTATGTGATTACGGTAATTATCCATTCCCTCCCAACTGTTATGCAATGGCCAACACGTATTGATGCTTTTTAAAAAAGAGTAAAACTCAACTAAAAGTAAAGCCATTGCTGCTATAAAGCAGTCTCGGATATAAATCTTAGCTAGAACTAAGAACTTCAACTGAGCTCTCAGCTGGATTTTTTAAAATAAAATTTAAGCTTATCTTCAATTTTTATTAACCACTGAAATAAAGAAAGGCATAAATTAAAAGAAATTAAATAATATGGACTACTTCAACGATACGGCGGTTATCTTAGATCGCAAGGCATTATGGGGCATTCAGGGGGCAGATTAAACTTTGTTACAGTAATGATGTCGATTGATATTAACAGCCCACCACAACAGAATACAACAAAAAATGAATTACGCGGCACATCAATCACCTTTACCCGTACAAAACTCTGTATATTTTCTGTCATCTTTGTTTTGTTTTGTCCACTGACAAGGTGGCCACCATATTGTCAAAGTATTCCATTAGATGTAGTCCTAAATGGGAAAATTTTCTTGTTAAAAAACACCTCACAATTTTATAAGATTTAAGCTTACTGGCCTATATTAACTTCTCAATGTAGATAATTCACTAAAAAATACTGTATAGCTTTTATGGTGCAAAATTGATCGATTCTGAAAGTCAATCTTGAGAACTTTGCATATTGCAAGCTATCTTTACAACCTTATCACAGTGCACAGATAACACAGGCAAAGAAACTACTTAATCTTAATGACTGGAAGAATAAACATTTATGAAAAAATCTTTTTTAAATATGCTGTCATAAATGATGACAACATAAATATTAGTTATCTTTACTAACTTGTGACCTTTGGTTCTTTGGTTTTTCTCCCTTTGCAACACTTGACATTAACTTAAAATCCTAATTAAGTCTGTGAGCTAGTTATGCTGAGGTTTTTATCATCCCAAAGGTTGTTTCAGGGTTTGATAGAAATTTGAAAATCGTGAAGGAGTTTAGTGTACAAGAAGTGCTTGCCAGTTCTTTATTTGAAAGACCTGTACGCACTAATGTTTAAAAAAAAAAATTTCTCTTGTTTATAAGCTTTTTTGCAGGCACCTTCCACTTTGAATTGCTTTCATTATATAGTTCAGCGTGTGTTATGCTTTCAGCTTTTTTTCTCTTGATCTTGCTGTATAATGCTGAATAGTGCATGGCAAAAATGTTTTCTTGGTTATTCCATGCATTAAAAACTGAAATAAATATATTCAATCTTACATATGATTGGATAATGTTTTATTGTTCAGCGTCTGTTATGCTTTCAGTATTTCCCTCTTGATCATGCTGTATAATGCTGAACAGTGCTTGGCAAAAATGTTTTCTTAGTTATTCCAAGCATTAAGAACTGAAATAAATTTATTCAATCTTATATGATTAGATATTATTTTATATTATTAAACCTTGCATCTCTCACCTTATAGTGAAAGTTCTTATAATATTGGTGGGCATATGATGACAAAAATTGGTTTGAGTTGAATATTATTTAAATTGTCATTCAGAAGTCATTAAGACGGCCCAATAAAGTAAAGTGACAAAACCAACTGCCAAATTGGTTAGCGCATTAACATCACAATAGCAATGTCTAATAGATATTAATAAATGCTATTAATTATGTCCACCTATTTAAATACACCTTTTTGGATGTGTTACAGTATAGGGGAAACTTGTCCACAATGTCAATTAATTTTCTTCCAAATTTACCATGAATCTTATTTTATTTTAACTGTAAAATATTGATAATTATTAGCAATATTATTATTTGCAAGCAACTACTTGATCCTATAAATTCTAATGCAAATGGGAAAAAGGGTTTTCCATCTTCATTCCAGTAAATCCTAATGGTTGGCATTGTACAAAATGATGACCTGTTGAATGAGTTCGTTCTAAAGGTCAACTCAGCTGGAACAAGTTTCTTTCAAAATGTTACTTCCAAAGAGCAAGTGTTTTGCAGGTTTTTTAAATTTTTACCCCAGTCTTCACCATCCTTGATGATTTGTTTGGTTTAAAATGCCTGGAACTCAAGAAGACTTAAAATTGAAGATAATAAGAATATTCAGTTTTTCATATCAGGATGTGAAGAGAATGCTGTGACAATCAAACTTCTCTTGAGGTTGTCATTTAAAATTTCTCAATGAAAATTAAGACATTTCAGGTTTAAGATGGTGCTTATGAATTCTGCTGAAACAAAGAGTGCTAGAACGTAGCCTTATAGAGTTAGAGATAAAAGTTGTTATCTCAGTTTTGGATCATAAAGGGAGTGCTTCCTGATTGATGTGTGGTTGATATATTTATTTATTCATTGGACTAAATAGGTAGGTAAGTAGTTTAGCTTTTAGGTAATTATCTATTAAATTTTTAATTTTTTTTTGGATTTTCATATTTGATTTAAGTTCATTTGTTAAATATTGGTTTCATCAAGGCGACATTTTTTAGATGTATTTAAGAGTGAATGTTAGTAAAAATCAAACAAAATTTGAAGATTCGCGGACACGGCCAAAAAATCGATTCGGCTTACATTTTGCCTATTGATAGGACTGGATGAGTAGGTAAAGGAAATGGGAGGGATTTGATGAAATATCTATTATTTTGAGAAATTACGAGCAAAAACGATTTCAGCCTGACTTTCGCTCAATCCGACCCACGCGACCTCGGTATTTAGGCGTTTTATAAGT